ACAAAAAAGAATAGACTTTTGACTCCATATGCACACATTTAAAATGCTAAATATAAATAATGAAATAAAAATATATATTCTTCAATATGACAATGTGATTAGTCTTAATATTAAGTGAACTTTTATAAACCTATTTTTTTAAACTAATAAAACACAAAAGGAAAATGGAAGGATCAAGACATCTTTTTATAACTGAAAAAAGAAATAGAAATAGTAATTAATCATATAAAAGTTCTATCAATAGCATGTAGAAAGTAAATATCCCAAAGTACTAAGATAAATTATTTCTGATGGTAGGTAGACTCATGGCTGAATTTGTTTTGTTTATAATTCACCATGTTTCCTAAAATTTCTAATTACTTTTATTATTGTATAATTATTAACATTTCTATTATTAAAAGCTTTAAACAGATTTAAAATACATAGAAAAATCTAATTAATACCCCATATTCCTTGAATTGAAAATTTTCAAGATTTTGCAAAAATTGCTTCATTCACCCTTTATTATCTTTTATTATTTTTTCATTGTTAACATCATTTTAAAGCAAATCCCAGTCATCATGTCATTTTACCTCCTCGGACATCAGCATATACCTCCAAGAATGAGGAAAATTTTGTGCATAAATTCAATGTCATTTTATACACAATAAAATTAGCAATAATTTCTTTATATTCCTGCCATCAAGCACATAATCTAGTTCTCTAGGTTTTTAAAAAAACTCTTTCATATTTGGTTTGAATCAAGATCCCTAAAAATCTAACTATGCTTTTGGTGTCTGGGTCTCTCCACACAGGACAGATCTCACTGACTTCTTCTAAGGCACCAGTTCGTTTCAGAGAAAAAATCTCAGAAACTTTTGGGGGGTTCCAACCTTTAGATTCCATCCCATCTCTCATGTTAACCAATTATAATCATTTTCATTCCACTAATCTATTTATCTATGAACAATCCTTAGTTTCTGTGTTTTCCTTTCAGGAGAAATTCCTTGAATCAAGGATTTATTTCTATTTTGTCATTTTCTCTGATATATTTAGAGGAGTAGCATTCCCAATAACATTGAAAAAGAAAGAAAATTCTTTTCCTTTTTATGGAAAAGTGTGTTTTACTTCATGTGGGGGGATCCAGATGGAGAATAGTGATTTGAACTATTTTTCTTGGTAGGTCTGCTCTTCGGCAAAGTTATTCCCATTATGGAGAAAACCAGCATTTCATTTGCTCAGAATTTTGTTTTTAAGAATTTCCTTTTTGTCATTTTTGGCTGACTAAACATTTTTTCTTTCCCAAGACTGACTTGCCCTGCAATAATTTTAGGAAGTATACCTCATGAACTCCATTGCTTTTCTGCCTGTTTTCCTCTGTGTCTTTTTTTTCATATTTGTTATCTATGATTAATAAAGGAATCCACAAGGGCTTCCTTGTTAAGGTGCAGAAATGCAAGTAAGTATTAACCTGATTTTGTTCCTGAAGGGATGAACCATTTGCTAAGTATTTTAAAATATTAAACATGCCACTATCTCCATTTCCTATTCCAAAAATGCCTTTATTTAATAAGGACACTGAGCACATTTTTTAAAAGTCTGGTCTTTGGAACATTTTAAAGGGAATATTTTTGTTGTTCTGGGAAAAAAAGAAAAAGCCATGTAAAGACTTTTGCTTTTTCTCCAAGCCCGAGTGAGTAAATCAGCTATGTCACATCTGCAGCCCTTCCAGCTTAGCTTCATCTTCTTTCCTTTAGAATTAAATCTGAGCTCCACAAAGATGACAGGGCACAGCGAAGGAGATCCAGTAGATCCCTGTGACCGTCACCGTTCAGTTGCCTGAACATCGTGTGCCCCACCAGAGTGCCCCCCACTTGTATATTTATTTGGTTTTGTATGAACCTGGGTTTGTCCTGGTCAACCTTGCAGGATTACACTGCTATGGACATATGTGTAGTTCAATTTAAAAAAATGCAAAATACATAAATACTTGCTTCTACTGTTTTATTCTGAGGACTGATTTTCGCAGAGAACAAAGAAAATATACTAGACCCTCTTTCATCAGATAAATCCTGACCCCCAGCAGAGAGGCCGGCAGGTATTGATCAGGCTGCTGGACCAACTTCCCACTTCTTACCTTCAGTTCATGGAGGTTTTTATTTTTACTTTAGTGAATGATTTCAAACAAATGACACTCAAGAGTGAACAGAGAGAGGAGGAATGTTGAATTTAAATTTTCCTCCTCTGTGGATTTAAAGAGCAGATTTGCATTCCTAATCCCAGTTTAGTTACTGCGACGCATCAGGCCAATCCACTTTCTTCCCTGGAATCCCAGTTTCTCTTTCTGTGGCGGGTCCAGCCACAGTCCCATCTACATCGTGAATCTCTGTTCTGCCCTGGTAGCTTCACGTATGAACCCGAACCACAGATTTTAGGGGACAGATGAGTTTTTGAAAGACAAGAATATTGGAAGTGCCAGACTATAAATTACTGTTTATCAAAAGTTCTATGTTATTAGCAATTTTGAGAAATGTACCTTGTCAAGTCACCTGATTAATGCTATTTCTTTTTTTTTTACCCAGTTTCTCTCCCCAGCATCTTCATAGCACAGCCAGACTTGGATTGCAGATTCCCGAGAGGAAGATCCTGTCTAACTTGCTGTGCCTAGCAACTGACAGAACATGTTATGAAGATAGATTCTCAGTGCATTTGGATGGTGATTAATTTTACTGAGTCTATATTAACATCTCATTCTGATTACATTTTAAAAGGAAAACCTCACTATCAGCATACAGCACAATGAACTCTAATGCCTTGAAAAGAAGACCAAGATATGAAATGTCTTTGAAACTAAAATCTGAATTATCTGAACTGTATTAATTTTGCAGGAAAAACTTTGTATAGGATAAAACCCAAATGCTATTGAATGGACAGCAATTTAAAAACACCTTGAAGATTAGGCTCCTATTAGTATCCAGTTAATGATCCAATAACTTCATCAGGGAAATGTATTTATTTTAGTCTTTATTCATTAAAAATTTTTAAGTTAGATTTGGCTCAAGGCCATTGCACCTTCTGGGGGCTGATACCAGTAATTACACAGCTCTTAAGCGCCCAGCGTGCTGTTAGCATTGTAGGTCTATTTTAAGGTTACAGTTTTAAGTAGAAAGGTGACCAAAGAACTAACTCACTTATGAAACAAGTAAGGACATGTCATAAAACTATTATCCAAAGTCAATAATGTTAAATGATACTCCAGTGAATTTAGGTACCACTTTTCTGCCAAAATTGCAAAGTGAGTTTTTTTTTAAAGTTTCTTTTTAACCTATTGACCCAATGTATTTTCATTAATGCCATCAAAAGAATAATTTTTGGATTTAACTTGTTACATATAGTCTTCTTAGAGTATGCTTAATTTATATGACCTCCAGAAAATACATCTACCCCAGAAATTTTAAGGATAGGAAGAACTCTATCAGGGGTCTGCACCAGGGGCTTGGGGTCCAGGAGGTATTCTTCATCCTTCAGAGGAAAATGAGCCCAGAGAAAGCCCCACAGCTCTTCCGCAGTCTAAGCCGTACAACATCCCATCAAACACAATTTTATTCGAATTTCAATACAGAGCACATTCCCAAGGAAATCAAATATTTTACTATTTTGAACTATGTAGAATTGTTCCTTTATTAGTTCAGTTAATTAAGGGGTGGGAAAATATGTAGAATGTTTTAAAGTCAGATTCTTAGCAAATCACTTTGTACATCAAAACCCCTGTGTGCAGAAGCCCCGCTTTCCTTTTGATGCCCAAAGGCTGCCCCCCCAAGCACCCTCAGACCCGCCCCCCCGAATCAGTGAGGTGGGCTGCCAGTCCCCAGGAAGGCCGCATTTCCTCTACCGCGGTGCTTCCATTCCAGCCCTTCCTGAGACTGTTCCCTACTCTCTTCCCAGGACTGATCTCTTTCATCTCTCCCAAGATGCCCGTTCCAGTCCTGCCTCCAACCTCAGGGCTTCCTCCACCAGCCTCGCTCACAATCCTGAGACCTCACAAGACCCGTTTATTTGCCAGCTGCAACAAAATTCTGTGATAGGACAATCTCATTTTCATTACTTGTATAGCAGCATTAAACTTTGCTTGTTCACAAACTTTTCTGCAAAGAGTCGAGTCAACGCATTAAAATTCCACATCTCCCTTTCATTGCCAAGTGGACTACAGATGAGCGCAGGAAGGGAGCGAAGGGGATGGACGGGCTTCGGAGCCCAGAGCTCACGCTGGGCGGGGCCGTGAAGCTGCCCGTTGGGGTGAGAGCAGGTGTGAGCTTGGATGGCAAGAGGGGCTGGGCGGCTTCTCCGTTGGGGCTGAGCGTGCACGACTCCTGCGCTTGGGAGGACGGCCCATCAAATACTGCAGACGATACGGTCTGGCACAAGACAGGGTGTTTCTTATGGATCAAAATTAGTCACATGTCCAGCGGTCTTAGTGATAAACATGCTTTCACAAATTAGAAAAATAATTTTGAATACCATTCCTTTTGTCAGGAGACGTTGGGTGAGAAGGAAAAAAGAGCAGACACGGTGGCCATGTGAGATTCATTGTGCTCTACATGCACTTCAATTGGCAAGGTCTATCTTTCTTTGTTCTTTTTCCTCATTAGAAGTAAATAAGAGTGAGTATTTCCATAGCTGAATTGGAAGGACAAGGAAGTTATGGAGAAATGACTTCACGTTGAGAGAGATGTTTGCCCGTTAGGTGGGGGCTGCTCCACGATTGGCTCGTTTTGTTTCATGGCTTATTTGTGGTTTGCTCATTTTAATGGAAATGCTACGCATGCCTCCCACACGCAAACAAAAAAACCAGACAGAACTGAGGTGACAATAGAAGACGAACCATAATGAGGACCACTTGTGATTTTTAGAAGTTTTTGTTTTGTAGTTTTTTCATATATATAATAATGGGATACAGAAGAAATGCAAGAAAGAAAAACATACAGTATTAATAAAGGGAGGGAGAGAAATCATGAACTGACCTCATTTCTGAAGGCCTTCCTCACAGCTGCACTTCCATGTGGGCTTTGAGCCCAGCGCCCTTATGTCCCCCGTGGCCGGCTTCACTCAGGGGGGCCTTCTCCTCCTTCCCTTTCTCATGTAGAGCTTGCAAAGACATGAGGGTGCTAGTTAGACAGCAAAAAACTGAAATAAAATAAAGGAATGTTTTATGGGAAAACTGACTTTTCCTTCAGTGATTCTTAGTTTTCACAAAGAAGGCCTAACCGAGCTTGGTGTCATGGCTGTTAATTTTGTGCAAGTCCCTGCATTTCTCAAACTGGGATTCACAACCTATTTTCATGATTTTTAGGTTATATGGTATTTTTTTTAATATTAAGTTTTCATTTCCATAATCCCCTAAAAAACTGTAAACAGAACCTGAAAATAAGCTGGACTATTTCATAACCCTCTTTCCGCTGGACGTTATATCTACCATGACATAAAGAGCAACCTAAAGAAGCTAAATATATTTCATTTTTAATGACATGTCTAAAGGTCATCGAACCAATCCAACTTATAATCCAAATAACGCTCTGTGGAAGTTCTCCTCCCCATTCCTCTGGCCCTGCGCATCCTCACAGCCCAGCCCCTGGCGCTGAGCTCCCCCCGCCAGCCCTCCCCAGGCCGCTGCCCGCACAAGGGGATCTCCCTCGGTCCTCTTTCCACCCCCTTGTCTTTCTCTCCTATTTTTTATTTTTTTCTCAGATAACCAAATATCTCCTTCCTCCTTTTAACACCTCTTGCTCACACCCCCAATCTAACCAAAGCCTCCTTTAGTGTGATTGATAAGCTTTATGACGTATACAAGAACCAAGAAGAGAAGGGGAAACGCCCAGGTGGTGGGTCATCCAAAGGCGAGGAAGAGAAGAGGCTACGAAAGACCATATACTAGTGATTTCCTGTGTCTGTTACATAAGCATCTTCTGACTTTGGATGGCCAGATAATTTCCATTCTGCATTTGAGTTAGTCTCATTTGTGTTATGTGACCATGTTAATTAAGAACATTTGCATTTAAAATCACATTTTTTAAGTTTTCAAGCAGGGGACTGCAGTTGTTACAGGGTCCATGGTCATTTTTTCAACAGCGCTCACATTTTTACATTTGACAATGCACATTCTTAATTAAATGTGAGATGAACTCTGTAAGGTTCGGTAAATGACCAGATAAGTTTGCATGGTATGTTTGGGGTAGAAGCATGTGACAATATAGTGGATGAAAAAGTGAGTCCCTGTTGTTACAGGTCATACAATGGAGTATAAAGATCAAACAGATGTAGGACTGGAAGTACAGTGTCCTGTGAGAAGCAGAAATGATCACTGCAGCCGTCCAAGCTGGCTGACTTGAACAAGTAGATCACAGAATTTTATTTTGTTAAGGGGGCCAATTTAATAACACCCTTTCAGTAATATATATCCATTTATTCTTCAACAAACATTTATAAATTCTGTAAACATTTTATTGGAAAAAATGCATGCAGGAAAGCACACACATCTTAATTGGCAGCTTGATAAACAGTCACAAAATGAACATGGTCATCAAAGAGATCAAGAAACCACAGTGTGAGATGCTGTATCACACACACCAGGATGTCTACGACAACAACAACAACGAGAAACCGGAAATCAAGGATGCAGGGAACATCTGACCCTGATACGCAGGTGGGCGTGCAGAATGGTGCAGTCATTGTAGACAGCAGTTTGGCATTTCCTCAAAAAGTCAAATACTGAATTACACCATGTGACTTAGAATTTCTACTCTTAAGTATATTGAAAACATATATTTGATTGAAAAGAGATAGTCAAGCAAATACTTGTACATGAATATTCACAGCAGCACTATTCACGAAAACCAAAAGGTGGGAAAAACTCCAACTGTCCATCACAGACCGATTAGTAAACAAATTGTAGTATACACAAAACATGGAATATTGAACAGCCATAGAAAGGGATGAAGTGCTGTGTGTGCTACAGTGGGAACGAGCCTCACAAACACACCAACTGTCAGAAGCCAGATGCAGACATTTGTTATGATTCCATTTATAGGAAATATTCAGAAAAGGTAAAACCACAGAGGCAGACAGCAGAGTGGTGGTAGGGGAGAATGAGTGTCTGCTTAATGGGAGCAAGACTTTCTTTAGGGGTAAAAAATGTTTCAAATTTGATAGAAGTGGTGATTACATGGCATACTAATTTCACTGGATTGTATGCTTTAAAGTGTTTAATTTTATGTTATATGAATCTTGCTTATTTTTAAAATACATATTTTTTTAAACTATGCTGGATATCATTTTTAGTGTACCAGATTGGAAAAAATTGCAAAAGTTTGATAATGCAGAGTTGACTAATTGTGAGGAAAGACTCACCCTTATACATTGCTATTTGACATGCAAATTAGGACAAATCTTGAAGAGGGCAGTGCCTTTTAATATAGAGATTCCAATTATGTATAATCACAGCATCATGCATAATAAGATAAAGTATAACTTGAATGGCTAAATAAAGTATTGGACAGTCATACAATGTAATGCTGTACAATGTCGCTATAAAAATAACAAAGAAACTGATGTGGAAATTTACCAAGACATATTGCTAAGTATGGAGCAACCAACATTTGGGTGACTTTGATGTGAAAGAAGGGAAATTGGATTTGTGTATGCACCTAGAATTTTCAGCAGAAAAAAGAAGATAGCAAAAACAAGAAGGATATTTACATTCAGGTCTTCGTTTCCTCCCTCCCTTATGCCCCATTGGTCCATTCCAAGTGGGATTCTCTTTTTTCCCAACCACCACTGAATCTGCTTGCCGAAGACATGTCCGTTCCACCCACACCTCACGGACTTGTCGGGCTGCGCCCTCCACGAGCTCTGTCTCAGCACCTCGGGACCAGACAGCAGCATCTTCCCCTCGGCACCTCCCGCTTCCTCGGCGTCAAGGACTCCGCGCTATTCTGATCGCTCTGTTTCTGAAACTCCTTCTCACTTGTGTTGGTTGGTTTGTTTTGGCTTCTCCTCCTTGTCCCGGCCTCTAAATAGTCTGTGCCTCAAGGCTGAGTCCTAAACCCTCTTCTCTTTCCGTGTGGAATCCTTCCCTAGGACATTTTACCCACCCACTTAAATGAGATTCAAAAATTAATTTACTGTGGATTTCTCATGTCACCTCTTCACAGGTGTCAGGAAGTATCTGACAATACTTTCACAGGTTGAGTATTCTGTAAAACTAAATACTCAACATCTACTTTTATCTGTTTACCTTTTTTTGGGGGGGGTGAGAACATTAAGTTCTACTGTCTTAGCAAATTTCAATAATCCTGATACAAAGTTATATCAACTGTAGTCACCATGTTATATATTAGATCCTTAGACCTTATATCTTATAGATGAAAGTTTGTACCCTTTACCAACTTCTCCCCATTTCCCCCACCACCCAGCCTCTGGCAACCACTTTTCTACTCTTCTTCTATTGACATCTATTCTTGGCTACCATATTAATATATCATATTTAGTATGGAACTCTTGATTTTACCCTATGCATTCCTCCATCAATATTTCCCACTTTAGTAAAAGGCACTTAATGTATCTTGGTGCACCAGTCCGAAGCATAGAAATCATCTTATCCCGGGCTACTTCACTCTCAAGTTCTGTCTAATATCCTGTCGAATAGATCTGGGTTCTCTTCTTTCCATGGTCACTCCCTCTACCCAACTCACCTTCATCTCTCCCCTAGGCAAGCACAAAAATGCTGTGACTCTTCCCATTACTCCCTTCCTGGCCTCTTCCAAACCATTCTCCATGAAGCAGCTTGAGTGGATTTTAAAAGTGTGAATCATATCGTACCACTCTCCTGCTCAAAAGATTTTGTTAATTGATGGGACTCTGGGGAGAGGGTGGGGAATCTGTTCCCAGCGTGGGGCAAATTACCTTTGAAACTGCAATCAGTCAAAGGGAGAAATAAAATGGGAGAAACCTATTTATTGCTTAGAAACAGTTGTCCACTTCTTCTCAGTCGGTCTGGTCTCTCCTGACCCATCTGCTAAAAGGGACTCCCCACAACCTCTCCAGTCCAGATAAGCCCTGGTCCCCCTGGTAATTACCTGTTGATACAGAGATGGACTACATCTCTTCCCCCCTTGGAAACACCTATTGATATGGAGATGCACTAAGGCCAGGGGAGAAATTCTGGAAATACTGCAGTTTTACCCACAATTGACTTCCAATTGCATTTAGAATAAAAATCGTATTTCTCATCATCCTACTAAGCACAGTGTGATCTGACCAAGATCTGACCACCTCTCTGGTTACCGATATCTTGATAAACTTGTTTCCAGCCACACCGGCTTCTTTCATTTCTTGGCACCATTGGTACTGTCTTAGCCGCCAACCCTACCTTGGGGGTCAGAGTGTGCCTGCGTGTTTCTTTGCCTGGCTAGCCCTTCCCACTTCACCACTCAACTCAAAGATCTGCTTCCCAGAGAGGTGCCCTCTGGCCATGCCATCTCTGACATAAGGCACTCTCCTTCCCCCAGTATTTCATTTACAATGATTCCAAATTCCATATTTGTCTGTGAATTTTATTTTCGGTCTTCAGTATTGGACTGTAAGTTCCAGGAAGACAGGGTTTTTACCTTTCCTTCATCATGCCCGTTCACCAATTCTCTAAGGAATACCAATGGATGATGCAGGAGAATGGAAATCAGAGACATGGAAAAATCAGCGTATCCCATGTTTTATTATTTCCACTACCTGTTATTTTCCCATAATATCTTTTAGCTCAATGAATCATTTAGCACTGATCTATTATGTACCTGCCACTCTGTTAGGAGCTGGGGAATCAACGGTGAACAACAGTTTACAGATTTATAAGGCTACTTGTATGTGAACGGAAAATATGAGCCATGCCCGCTGCAGCAGGGGTAGCATCGGCGAGGTATGGAGTCCATGTTCTCACTGCCTTGAAACTGGTGACCCCGAATGGAGCTCCGGGCAGATGCCCTTAACCCGTCTGGTGTGTCTGCGTCCTGCATCCTTTCAGGACCCAGATGCTGTGCAGTGCGGCACTTACCCCTCACCGAGAATCCCCATGGGTGCCCTCCAGTCCACTGCCAGCTGTGTGCGTGCACCACGGTGGACATCCCGGCTGAGCCAAGCCTTCAGATGACTCAGACCCCAGCCACCGTCTCTCTGACAGCAGCTGCAGGCGAGATCCCAAAGTTGAGCCCCACCAACTCAGGGATCTAGAAGAAATAACAATAAATTGTTGTGTAAGCCACTAAGCTTTGAGGTGGTTTGTTATGGAGCAATGGATAACTGGATGTGTATTTCCTTTTACTACAATGTTGCTAGGTCGTGTTTGTTAATGTCAGGACAAGAAAAGAAAAAGGAATGTGACTGATTAGCTGAGGGCCTCTGAGGCTAAAGAAAACACTCAACCAGCTTCCCCCTGCTCTGTGGAAAGTCAGGCTCATTTAATACTTTTGAAGACAGCTCCCATACATCAATCTACCCATCCGCTCATCTATTTATTCTTCCATCCGTGTATCCACCCATCCCCCCAACCAATCCCTTCCCTTAACATTTACTGGGCTTGTAGTCTGGGGCAAGACCTCTGATAGTCAATAAGAATGCAACGTTAATTGAAATAACATTTGCTTTCAAAGAGAATCTGTCTGACCGGAAAAAGCATTTTAAAAAGCTGCAGATGAGGTACGAGGGTTATAAAAGTAGAAGATGGCATTTTGGGTTTTTTGTTTGTTTTCCTTTTTGGTCTTTTGAAAACAGCTATTTTCCCTTAAGTCTCAGATAGTTCTCAACTGGATCAAAATCTCAATCACACTTCTGTATTCTCTCTACCCACTGGAGAACACAAGTCTCCACTGATAATAGTAAATAGGTGGGAATCTACTGAGGAGACGGGTCACTGTGGGGGCTGAGTCTGGAAACAGAAAAGACAGATTATTGAAAAAGAGACTTCGTGCATCATTCTTTTTAGCCACTAATCTCCAAGAAACACCGGCAGAGACAGGAGAACGGAAGTCAGAGTAGCAAGGGAACTGACTGGTTTCCTTTAGAAATAACAGGTGTCCACATCAATTATAGTTTCTAAGTTTTTAATCAACATTTAATTATTCACTTCACTTTATATGCAGAGCTCTTACATATACAGAGCAGCAAATAATAAAGTGGTTCGCTTGGCAGTATTTTGCCCACTTGATCAATGTAGGCTGTATACTATAACTGATAATAATTTGGGGGCCTATTAGATTATTTACAGTATTATCCAGGCAAATCTTCATTTCCCATATATTCTCATCATGGTCCAGTGACACTGAGGGTAACTTAGTGTTTTGATCTGATTATAAATATCTTCACATTTTATTTTTTGTGCCTCTTCTATTTGCCTAGAGGTTTTTCTACAAATATGTTTGTCATTGGTAGTCAGGCCATGCTGCATTTGGTTAACCATAAAAAATTCATGTTTCTCAAGTTCACTTCAAAAGCATTACCTGATCTGTCAAAACACTTTTTAAAATTTCAAACGCCCTTCTATGTGGCCTTATTCTGTGCTGTGCTGCTGTGTGACCCTCCTCTTCAGAGGAGAAGGCGGAGAGAGACTCCTGGGGCTCACACAGCAGGGCACGCTGATGCGCAGATGGGCAACGGGCACTCCCAAGCCGGCAGTGATCCAACCTTTTCTGTTTGTTAATTTTGTAAATGCACATTCAGAAGAGCTGGGGGGAAAACATGTTTCTCAGAAGTGAACTAAAATCAATATCTATTATTTTTAAGTTGTTTAAGATAAAACTAGCAAGATTCACCCCACATTGTTAACACTATTAATTTTCAGGTGTCCATTAATTAGTAAGGTCCTCCCCCAGCTAGGCGCACAGGCACTGAGTCTCAGTCATGATGTGTCCTTTCATAGGCAACCTATATCTGGAGAAGAATAAGGCCCAAGGAATTAATAAGGAACTGCTGAACTGTCATGGCAAACCAGAGCCACTGCAGTTTAGTATATGCCACTCAACTTGATTCACAGTTTGAAAAACTACACCACATGGCTGGTAAGGCCACTTGTTTCCTATCCCAGCAGGGCTGGTGAGCTCTGCTCAGGTTCCTGGTGTCAGGGGTTCCCAGCCACCCAACCCCACTCCTTTCCAACCTGCTAGGAAGTCAGCAAAGTAAGGAATGCCCTTGGCCTGCCTCGGTGCACCTTCCTCTTACAGGAGAGAATCAGATCTCACGAGGAGGCCGTCCTCCCAGTGATTCTGTGACTACGATGACTTGTGCGAGGGTTTCTGATCCTGGTCAGGTGAATGCACACCTTACTTCTATATCAATATTAAACAAAAGTGTGTGATTATGTCACTGCCACCGCTGAGCTGGTGCTGTAGCTGGAAAGCAATACAGACCCACTGCTGCCCTCCTGGACCAGTCACTTGGGAGACAGATGTGACGGAGGGAAGTTCAGGGACCTCAGCCCCAACGTAGGACCTTTGCATAAGGTGACTTCAACACCAAGCCTTCTAAGTTCCCTTTGCAACATCCTGTTTCAACAAAGGACTTAACATCTGATCTCTTGCCTTATTAGGAAAACAAAGGTGAGTCCTAGAGTACAGATTGAAAGAAAATTTAATACCAAGCAACCTATAATAAACATTAAGTCAGCTATGGAATATGGAGCTAACTTCGGCAGGTCCCGCTCCCAAATCCCAACCCCCGGTTGGCCCACATTTCCGTCACCTGGCCGGGGAGGAGAGGAATACCCCTGAGGGGTCTTAGAGGTGAGCTCCCCACAGCTTCACAACAAGGTTTCCCACTCCAGTGGGGATCCTGGGTAAACGTTGGTGTCTGACGCCTGGCACTTCATGGGAAAGAATTTTCCCTTAGAGTCCCTTTTCCTATGAGCACAACCGCCTGCTCTTCTCGATTCTCCCAAGACAAGGAGGAACATAGGCCTTAGGCAGAGTCCGCCCCGGGGGTGTCCTGTGCCTCCCGATGACTTTCTGCCCCCTTTCCTGTAAATACTGTGAGCCTACACCAGCCAGGGCTGCCTGCTCTTTAGGGGATTTAAATTAAGTCCCTGCAAGTCTCCATCCCACCCTCTGAGGGATGCCAGTGACACAGAGGCACGGGCCACCCTTCTGGCTGGGAACAGCCGATTTCCTTGAGTTCTTGATTTCACTCAGTTTTCAACTCCTACTGCTGTTGAACCATCTCCATCCCCCCCAACACCCCCCCACAATTTTTATGCTTGCTCCTTCTCTGTGATCCCCCGCAAGATGACTTCATTTGTATTCATTCGTATGTGTAGTAGATTTCATTAAACTCTTTGAAGTAGATGAGCTTTTAAAAATATTTAAAATATTGGCCTTGAAGCCTTTCACTATCTCTCTGCCCATTTCCCGCTAGGTCGTGCAGCAGTCATTGTGACGCAGAATGCCAGGGCCCCTCACGTGACTCCGGGAACACGCAGCTCCCCCTGCCCGGCCCCCCAGGCTGGCAGCAAGTGCCCCTCCAGATGGGGGTCTGAGAGCACGGAACACCTGCCCAGAGCTATGCCTCTTTATCCTTTATTAACCCATCTTTGCTACAGGATAAATGAGAACGATCTTCTAGAGGTTTAATTTTCCACTCAAAGGAACTGTGCTGCTCTCCGAAGGAAGACGGTGGTGACTAAAATCCATACCGGGTTTTGAGTAAGTTTTCCTGTTATTGCAAAAAAAGTTAGGTACCTCCTCCTCCTGCACAGAACCCACCAGGACACTGTGCTGTTATTATTTGTTCAATCCTATGTGTCCCCCACTAGGCTGAGATGTCCGTGAGCAGAGAAACCCTGTGTTTTCTCAGTTTTTGTGACCCCTGGCGTTGCCTAGAAGTAGCTACTCAACAAGTGCTTAGTCTCAGCGCCTGAGCGAATAGCCTCTTGCCTCTGACAATGAGACCGTGGTTTTCCAAATCTTCTGTATATACAATATACATATGGGGCAATATGTACACAATTACACTGTAACACACTTATATACAATAAATTTCATGACATACAATAAGTTATAACTTATGTAATGTAATTATATACAATTATGACAACATATACATTATACAATAATACAATATATAGATTATGACCAAGTGATCATTACCTTATTGAGGTTCCTCATTCTAAAGCTGAGGACATAGTGGCCAGAGAAGGGCGGGGCTTGGTTCAGTCTTCCCGTCGGCGGGGGCTGCGTGTGCTGGGGACACCGCGCTCTCTCTCGGTCCCTTGTCCTCGTGTTACCACAGTGGCATCTAAGGAGTCTGACATCCTGCGTCTCTGAGCCATGGAGGAAGCCAGCGCACAGCTTCCCAGGGGCAGGTGCTGATGGCTTCCGGACCCCTTCACGGTCAATGTGGGGTATGAAGCAGGCTTGCCACTCCCGGTAGCCTGAGATGTCTTTTCAAGTTCAGAAAAACAACAGGAGGAAGCCATTCTTGCACTCCAGCTTCCCACGGGCATCTCAGGTCTTCAAAGTCCCTCCTTGGTCCCAGGGATACTTCAGTCCCATGGAGGAAAGTCCGGTCGTTTCCTCTGGGCTGGAGAATTGAGACAGAAGAACCACGAGTGAAATTCGTTTCAGAGTATAAGAATTAGCCACGCAATAGTGCTTCTTGCTCATTTGATCTGAGGATGTATCTTCCAGGAAGTACTTTCATTGCACAAAGCAGATGAGAACAGCTGGAAAAGGGCTGGTTGTCCACAAGACTTGAAAAATCTCCCTGAACACGACAACTAGACCTTTCACTTCCACTGTGCCCCTTTCTTCGCCCTGAAAGATTTTCTGCATCCTCTCTGTCTCTTTGGCCTCACTCCCAGCCTCTCCTTCATTCATACCCTGCGTGCAAGCTGCAGATAATGGTCGGCGTGTATTATGAGAAGTGCAATATATCAAAAACTGCCTCCACTCAAAATTTGCTCCATGACTTTCTGGCTATGTGACCTTGTAGCTGTGTAACCTTTTCGGCTGTGTTGATTCTGGTGTTCTGTTATTCCCCCTTTTGAAAAGGAAGGAGAAAGATAAATAGAATTACTTGAGTTATTTATTATGTGTAAAGCATTTGCCTAGCACATAATTATTGATCAATAAATGTCATCTAAAGTTGACAACGCTTTATGTGCAATTCCAAAATGACGAGTTTGAACTGTCAGTTTTTATATAGTTCTTTTGTAACAAATCCTTACCTGGCCTGAACTCCTGGCAGCAAGCCCACCTTGAGCTGATAAGAGAGCATATCTAGTCTGTGTTTGTTCCATTTAGTACAAACCATGGTTTTACTGTATCTATTAATTAATTAGTTTGAAGCAGACCACACTGGCTGTTACAGAGAGCATTATAACTCTATATTGTGTTTCTCAAATCTAAAAAGACCTGAATTCTGAAACCCACTGGGACCCAAGAGGTTCGTATAAGACGCCATGGGCCTGGGTTATAGTTATTCCAGGACAAGCCTCCAGATAAGCTCTGAATGCTTCATTCCCTGCTGCCTCCCTGCTAAAGCCCCGGTGTGACCCCCACCCGCCCCTCGTCCTGCCCTGTTGGAGACGTGGCTCTGGTGGGCACAGCCCTGGCAACTCCCTTACTAGTCCAGACATTTAGCCTTGTCTCCTTTTTGTTCCCCACAGCTCTCAAGACCGTACTCTATACGATTTTCTTTGCTATATTTTGTAAAATGTGTTATGAGAAAAATTAAGCAGACTTCAGTGAACATACACATTTGTCCCTTAGAAATAACACTATTTACTTGATGAAAGTAAACATGGAATTAAAAAAAAAATCTGCTTTAAACTTACATGGAGAGGCTAAACGTTTTTGATGACCAAATGAACTACATAATAAATAGACACGCTTTTTTCTTTGTGGTTTGAAAAAATAAATTACGTCATTAAGAAATGTGTCCTGACAGTTCTTGCAATATAATTTCATGAAAACACCAGCACCAGTAAAAGAGCAGGCTCTCCCTGCCGAAGGGGACACCGCGTCCGCCGAGCACTGACCCGCCGCAGGGGTTCCCACCACCCGCTGCCCGGAGAGCCAGAGGCCAATACTTCCAGCAGGTATCAGAGGGCATTTTGGAACTTCATGGATCTAAAAAGTCATTATGCACTATAATCTTTAAGATTTTATGTCAGTGCATTTTGAGAATTTGTTATTTTATTGTTTTTTTACAGCATTTATTTTTTCCTATTCCGAAATAGCATGTCTGTTGTAGAAAAAGTAGCAAGTACCTCTAAACACAAAAGAAGAAAATAAAAGTTGCTGATAATCTCGCTATCCAGAAATGATCGTATTTACATATTTATGATACTATTCACCTGTGCATGCATATGTAAATGATGCCTGTGCGTGCTTGTGTATCACGGACCTGCACGTTTTAGCGACGGGGAAATGATTCTATCATACCGCAAAGGAAGCGATTGTAATATAGAATCTCTAAATACAATTAGATGTGGTCTGAAGGAGAAAAATTAGTCACAAATTACAACTTACTATTTGTATATAATTACAAATTATGGTTTTCTATGACAAAAATAAACCAGGGGCTAAAATATAGTGAAGTGGAGGCAGGGGACAGAGTCCTTAGGGGAAGGGTCTCTGAGGAGAAAAATTTTTAAAAGCAGCGTGTCTAGAACACCAGGCCAACTAAGGAGTGAAACAAGATGATGAAAGTGGAGATGTGGAGATCTTGATGGAAGTAGGTCACAGCGTGTCCTGGAGTCCACGGCAAAGCTGCCAGTTTGCCGTGATAACAGTGGGCAAAACAGCTCACTGCCAGGAGACTGATGTGATTTGTCTAAATCTAGTTTCAGCCTCCACACTAGTGACATTTTGGGTGGTAGTCCTGTGATTTGGTGGCTGTCCTGTGCACCGCGGGATGTTCAGCACCACCTTGTCCTCTGTCTCACAGCACTAGTGACATCCGCCCCAGGTGTGACATCCAGGAGTGTCCCCAGACAGAGCCACACGCCCCAAGAGTTAAGAGCAGGATTGTTGTGCTTCACAACTAGTCTGGATGGCTAAACATTACCCTGGCTTCTAGGTGGCATATAGATGTGCTTCGTCTCATGGAGCGCATCCCGATCACAGCAGGCAGCCCTCCTGTCACCACGAGGAAGCCAGCCCTCGCGTGACATTAGCCAGGCAGTTCAGAGCGAAGAAAGTGCCTGGCTGCATCATGCGTCAGTGAACTGCTCAACCTACAACCTGAATCTGGCATTGTAAGTTTTACTATTATGTGATAAAATACATTAAAATGGTGGAGTAGATGGTAGTTATGAGAGCGCTGGTCGAAGTGTGAAATGGAGCGGCGGTGCACTCCAGTGAGGGGGCAGCTGGCAGGCCGTACAGCAGAGGGCAGCACCTTGGAGCTGTGGCCACAGAGAAGCCGCGACAGTCAAGGTTTTTTGGAGCTGGAATAGACACGACTTGAACTTACACCTCAGTCCAACTATAACTTCATTCCTTTGCTCCATTTAACAGCAGAACTTCCCCCAAGGGTTGTCCATTTTCCAGAAAAGAGGGGAAAAAATATGTATAGTGAGTGTATTATCTTGGCATATGACCAAGGTTACTGGCACAAAATGGACTGTTCAGTAAATGCTAGAACAAATGGCATTCTGAATAGGTTTTCAAGATAGATGTCCTATACCACACCATTAAAAAATAACATTCAGATTGATGAAAGACATAAATATGGAAATAAGCCTTTAAAACTATAAGAAATCACACAGGAGAAACTTTCCATGATATTACAATACAAAGGGATTTTTAAGGATGATATAAAATCAAATATGACAAAAGAAAAATAACTTAAATGTATGATCACAGAAAAAAATGTTTTCTCTTATGAAAATCTCCATCAACCAAGTGTACAGGCATGGTAGTCCACAAAAATACTTTTCTAATACACGTAACAGATTTATAGACAGAGTATATGAAGACTTTTGGTGGAGGTGCCACCAGTGCCACACCCCAACTATGAGATGCTCTTCAACTTCCCTGTTAATTCGGGGAACATAAGATGGAGCAAAAGCGGTCCACTTGGTTCCCAAGAAGCACATTCGCAGAATACATTACATTCACAGAGAATAATCCCAACATTTCCATTTTGTTAAGCATGTGGCCCACAAGAATTCTACCAGTTTCCAGTGAGAAAACTAGGACACCTGTTGTACAGAGTGACTGTAAATACCCAGTAAGAGTTAAAATATGCGGATTGTAAAGCATCAACAGTCTGGCTTCTGGGCATCTGTACCTCCGAGAAACTCTGTGAGCCTGTATCATGGGACATTGCAACAGTGTTTTTAAAAACAAAAACAAAAACAAAATCTCAATACTTACAGAATGGAAAGATCTAAGGTAGTTGAAGTGGCCCAGCTGTACCCATGTACCAACAGGCAGGAACGGAGGAGCCGCAACGCCAGCTGCTGGAAGTCCTCTCCTGTGGACCAGCTGCACGCCCGGCTCTGGGGCTCGCGTTTAGGCGTTTCTGTTGCAGGGCCACCTCCGCGTGGAATTGCTGGTCTAGAGGGACGATGTGTTTCACTTCAGCACGTTACGTTAGCTTCAATGGTTTCTAAAGTGATTAGGCCAATTTACACCCTCTCGAGTAGTGGAACACCCAGAAATAATCCAAGTGTCATCAGCAAGAATTGTAGTGCATTTGTGAAGTAAAGTGCTAGTGGGCAATGAAAAGCAAAGAACCGAAGGGACGGAGAGATCATCCAAACGTAATGCTGAGCGAAAAAGCTTGACATGAGAGACTCTATTTTATGATTCCCTTTATTTAGAGTAAAAACAATAACACATCTAATATGTGGTGACAGAACCCAGAATAGTGTTTATTTAGGGGAACTTTGAACGAGGACCCCAGAGCCCTGTGCCAGGAAGGCTGCATACGGTGGTCAGCCCAAGGCCCCAGGGACGTTTGTTTGACAAAAATTCATCCAACCTCACGCTTAATATTGGTGTACTTTATGTATGTTTTGAGTCAACCAAAAAATTTAAAATGTAATGTTAACTTAAAAGAGTAAGATACAGAACGATTGATAGAATGTGCCAAGATAAATGTAAAATTTTCAATGGTAAAAAAACAACACTGTATTTTATGGCTCTCTCCATACACACACACACACACACACATGCATATGCACAATTATGTACTTTATACTGATTTCTTTATGTATCTATGTACAGAAATGGTCCAGGGAGGGAAGTCAGAGTCTGAGCCTGGGAAACAGAAACTAAAGGGCTAATGAGCATCTCCTCGTGGGGAGAGCTGGGTGGGCAGACACGGCGTGCAGAAGAGGGCTGGGCGCTGCGTGATGCCCGCCGTCAGCCGCTGTCCACTGTGCAGGGGCAGCATTTCTGCAAGAAGTGTGATGAGGCTTCTGGAAACAGAACTTTGAGACTGTCACCTACTTTGCCACCTGCCACATCACCAAGTTCAGTGAATTGACAGTTTCTACTCTCCTCAAATATGTCCCATGTGTATAGACATATGTGTGTGTATCCTCTGTGCCTG